TTCACAACGAGTAAAGTCGGGGGAGGTACATATTTATGCACGGACAGTTTGCTGTCTGACAACTTCTGTTGTTTCTAGGAAACGTTACAATGGCAGACATGGAATTTGCCTTTGTTATTGCCGATGATGCTATCGAAATTCCACTTCTCCTACACGAAGCTGAACATGATCAACACGGTCCAAGGAATGAATATCCTAATAAGGAAATTAGATACCAGCCCAAGCTCTTTCTAACATTCACAATAAAAAAAATTTGTGTGTGTGATGGTTTTCTCAAAATATAACCAGGTAGTAGTGGCTACTAGAATGAGATATTGGTGTTTTTGTAGCATATGGGATATTCTCTGTTGTTTGCTATTACTTCATGACCTTGTACTTTCCTCATTATTATTTGTGATTGTGCAACATGGAATTGTAACAGTCCACAAAGATTCTTACTGTATGGTAATTGATTGCATGTCAGCATCACTACAGTCTGCAGTGTATTTATTTAATTCTCAACCTTTATGTTGCTTTTGTCAGTAAGCATGTAAAGAACAGAATTTCATGAAATCATATGAAGGACAAAACACTCACTGTACAGAAAAGGATTAGACTATACATGTACATCAGTTCACATAAGTTACTGGTTAAACAATATGAAAAGGATTAGACCAGGGGTACTCAAGTACTATTTGAGAAAGTCCGGTCACATAAAATGTCCTAGGTGGCAAAGTTCCTGATGGATATTGTAATTTATCGGTGTAGTAACAAAGCCCCACCTTGCAACCTATGCGACCCCAGACTGTTCACCCCCCTCTTTTTGGCGGAGAGAACATTTTGCAGTTTTAAAGCTAATTTCCCACAATTGTACACATTTTGCATGGGGCAGGGCATTTTTTTGCTGTTTTAAATATAATTTCCTGCAATTTCCCATAACTTATATGTGTTTATATGATAGCAGGGGTCGATGCCCAACCAAGCTCCCTTAACCGGTGTGAAATGGCTAGCTAGTTAGCGGTGCGCGCTAGTAGCATTTCAATCGGTGACGTCACTCGCTCTGAGACCTTGAAGTAGTTGTTTCCCTTGCTCTGCAAGGGCCGCGGCTTTTGTGGAGCGACGGGTAACGGTGCTTCGAGGGTGACTGTTGTCGATGTGTGCAGAGGGTCCCTGGTTCGAGCCCAGGTAGGGGCGAGGAGAGGGACGGAAGCAACACTGTTACATATATACAGTGCATTCGGAAAGTATTCAGACACCTTTACTTTTACAACATTTTGTTACGTTACAGCCTTATTCTAAAATTGATTAAATTCATTGTTTTCCTCATCAATCTACACACAATACCCCATAATGACGAAGCAAAAACAGGTTTTTAGAAATGTATTACAAATAAAAAACAGAAATACCTTATTTACATAAGTATTCAGACCCTTTGCTATGAGACTCGAAATTGAGCTCAGGTGCATCCTGTTTCCATTGATCATCCTTGAGATGTTTCTACAACTTGAATGGAGTCCACCTGTGGTAAATTCAATTGCTTGGACATGACTTGGAAAGGCACACCTGTCTATATAAGGCCCCACAGTTGACAGTGCATGTCAGAGCAAAAACCAAGCCATGAGGTCGAAGGAATTGTCCGTAGAGCTCCAAGACAGGATTGTGTCGAGGCACAGATCTGGGGAAGGGTACTAAAACATTTCTGCAGCATTGAAGGTCACCAAGAAGACAGTGGCCTCCATCATTCTTAAATGGAAAAAGTTTGGAACCCCCAAGACTCTTCCTAGAGCTGGCCGCCTGGCCAAACTGAGCAATCGGGGGACAAGGGCCTTGGTCAGGGGTATTCTGTGTAGATTGATGAGGGGAAAAAAACAATTTATTCAATTTTAGAATAAGGCTGTAAGGTTCGGATCCGGACTGTGGTCCGCCAGTTGAGTATGGGGGGGATTAGACTATACGTATACAGCAGTTCACATAAATTACTGGGTAAACAATATGCCAAGCAATATGCCAAGCAGTCAAATGCACTTCGTATTGACCCCACAACTGGTGTCTGGGGTACTTGCTCATTAAGGCCCGGACACAGATTAAGCCTCTAAAATTGCCATTTAAGAATTCCCCTACAATAATATCCCATGTTACGCCTCATGTCCACGAGATGCATCAAACTCTTTGCGTTCCAGCTGAAGTCATTAATTGTCAATGGAGCAGTCCACAAAGCTACATTGGGGATCCCGCACTAGGCTGCAGTGCGTTCTGTGTCCCGCATGCGTTCAATATTTTCAACTTGTACGTTTCTTTACCATGTTGTGGTACAAACGGAAGTACACACAGACTCCAACTAGCTAGCGTTTAGCTAGTTGAAAAGCGAAGCACATGGGCGTCAAGTATGGAAAAATGTAGCCTAGACATCGGGCAAAACAAAACGCATATGCATCCACCCGATGACCTTTCTGTGCATGAGCTTAGCTAGCCAACGTTGCCATGACATTGCCTACAAGCATTACTGGAGATTTCTATTGAAGTTTCTTTGATTAGATTTTTTATTTGATTTCTGCATCCTGTACTGTCTTTGTTAGAAATACATATTGGGCCAAACTTGCTCCGTCCATACGCTACACAACCACGGACGTTCATTTATTTTCCGCAGTTGAGTCTGGAACCGAGTACCTCCCCAAGAACGCTGAGGTGTATTTCTGTCTGTAATAAAGCCCTTTTGTGGGGGAAAACTAATTCTGATTGGCTGGGCCTGGCTCCCCAGTGGGTGGGTCTGGCTGCCAAGTGGGTGGGCCTGGCACCCCTGCAGTCATGTGAAATCCATTGATTAGGGCCTAATGAATTTATTTCAATTTACTGATTTCCTTATATGAACTGTAACTCAGTAGAATCGTTGAAATTGTTGCGGACCACCAGTCCCTGTGCCCAAGAACACTAACGTAACCTGCCTAAATGACTACAGATCCGTAGCACTCACATCTGTAGCCATGAAGTGCTTTGAAAGGCTGGTCATGGCTCACATCAACACCATTATCCCAGAAACCCTAGCCCCACTCCAATTTGCATACCGCCCCAACAGATCCACAGATGATGGAATCTCTATTGCACTCCACACTGCCCTTTCCCACCTGGACAAAAGGAACACTATGTGAGAATGCTATTCATTGACTACAGCTCAGCGTTCAACACCATCGTGCCCTCAAAGCTCAGCACTAAGCTAAGGACCCTGGGACTAAACACCTCCATGCAACTGGATCCTGGAGGGGACTGAGCACGCACCCCTGAGGGGCCCCCAGGTGGTAAGGGTAGGTAACAACAACTCTGCCATGCTGATCCTCAACACAGGGGCCCCTCAGGGGTGCGTGCTCAGTCCCCTCCTGTACTCCCTGTTCACCCATGACTGCATGGCCAGGCACGACTCCAACACCATCATTAAGTTTGCCGACGACACAACAGTGGTAGGCCTGATCCCCGACAACGATGAGACAGCCTATAGGGAGGAGGTCAGAGACCTGGCCGTTTGGTGCCAGGATAACAACCTTTCCCTCAACGTGATCAAGACAAGGAGACGATTGTGGACTACAGGAAAAGGGGGACCGAGCACGCCCCCATTCTCATCGACAGGGCTGTAGTGGAGCAGGTTGAGAGCTTCAAGTTCCTTGGTGTCCACATCACCAACAAACTATCATGGTCCAAACACACCAAGACAGCCGTGAAGAGGGCACGACAAAGCCTATTCCCCCTCAGGAGACTGAAAAGATTTGGCATTGGTCCTCAGATCCTCAAAAAGTTATACAGCTGCACCATCGAGAGCATCCTGCCTGGTATGGCAACTGCTCGGCCTCTGACCGCAAGGCACTACAGAGGGTAGTGTGTACGGCCCAGTACATCACTGGGACAAAGCTTCCTGCCATCCAGGACCTCTATACCAGGCGGTATCAGAGCAAGGCCCTAAAAATTGCCAAAGACTCCAGCCACCCTAGTCATAGACTGTTCTCTCTGCTACTGCACAACAAGCGGTACCGGAGTGCCAAGACTAGGTCCAAAAGGCTCCTTAACAGCTTCTACCCCCAAGCAATAAGACTCCTGAACAGCTAAAATGGCTACCCAGACTATTTGCATACCTCAATTACCTGGACTAACCTGTGCCCCCGCACATTGACTCTGTACCGGTACCCCCTGCATATAGCCTCGCTACTGTTATTTTACTGCTGCTCTTCAATTTGTTTTTCTTTTTTACTTAACTGCATTGTTGGTTAAGGGCTTGTAAGTAAGCATTTCACAGTAAGGTCTACACCGGTTGTATTCGGCACATGTGACAAATACTTTTTGATTTGGTTTATATTTTTGTTCAGTATAAATGAGGAAAACTGCATATGGTCATTTCAGCAATTAAGATTAAAGTCACCAGAACACTTTATTACAGTTTCATTATGTCACGCTGTCTGAACAGAAGAATGTCCACTACACATACAGGATCTTATATTCATAGCAGGAAAACATTTAAACAAAACAGATTGGATTTTCACAATTTAATTGTTTATTTTTAGGCTAAAATTCTATTAATTGAAATGAGTACTGTATTTTGGTCTCCACAAATAAAACAAAAATATGTCCATATAAATAAACGTCACACTGCATAGCAAGACACACACTAACCATCACAGAAACACCTTGATACTAGAAGCCAATAAGACGGAACCACAGAGACATTGCACTACATCGGACCAAAACAACCTCTGCCTGCTTTGATTAACCAATTGAGAGAGTCAATTTGCTTTATATTTGACTGGACAAATGTATAGCCTACCTATGTGAATCTTATACCCATCTGATGATTCTATATCTAGAGGAAATAAGACTTATGAATAGAGCATTCAAGTGAGTAGGCAGAGAAAGATGTTTGCGCCATTCATGGGTGTCGTAGATGTATTAATGAAGTATGTCAACTGGTGGCAGTACAATGGGAGTGTCTCAGTGCTTCCTTAGTTTAAGGGATTTGGGGGGGGGGGGGGGGGGGGGGGGGTCTAACCAGAAAAACGGTAATTGGCATGGATCTCTGGCTTGATGTCACACACCATCTTCAGCAGATTGCCCAGCACCCCTTCACGGTTCCGCTGGTAGCTAGTCTGGATGCTGCCCATCTTGCCCACGGTCTCTTTGTCCACCTCCACAGCAGAGTTACCATGGGATCCAAGAGCCTAATGGAGAAATGGGATTAAGGCCACCTTACAAGACAAACCACTTCACAAACATACAGTAAGTATTAAGTAGGGCTGTGGCGGTCATGAAAGTCAGCAGGTAACTCATGCAAATGGCTGCCAGTCTAATGGTAATTGACCATTAATGAACATAAACACATTTAGCATCTCCAGGCTTCTATGCATACAAGCTGCTGATGCGCACATTTGGAACATCTACATTTTAAAAAGTGAAATAAATCAATGTAATATTTAATACATGAAACAGGTCCTATAGGCTACACTTAATTTAGAGTTAATTGGTAACTTTAGCTGTGACAGGCCTACAAAAACCTTGGAATGTTTTAGAAATCAAAACATATGGGCTGCATGATGCTACTCTATATTGGTGATTTGGAAAAAGTTGCAAAAAGGCATGCGCTCTGATCCTTGCGCTTCCCACTGAGAGAATTGCATGGCTGCTCTGCTTGCAGCAAGCAAGTCAGGAGATTTCTAATCAATGGAAAATGAGAACGAAAGGCTACAACAATCAAAAGCCAACAGGTAGGCTGCTATTTATAATCTGAACAGAGTTGTTGTTATTTGTAGGCCAACTGTAGGAAGCTGAGAAGCACAGTAACATTATAGCTAGCTTCTCTCTGTTTGATGCAGTCAAGACAGGTACTATGTAATCGGATGGGATGATAAATAACTAGCAAGAAGTTAGTCTATTAATGCGAGTTAAGTGGATGCTGTCTCTCTCCCTGTGCCTGCTCTGGTGATCTGAACCTCCTGCGTCTTACTCACACATCTTCCCCCGTTCCCTAGTAGCTACGGCTGCTCGCTCTGTGCCTCTCTCTCCCTTTCTCTGTAGCTCCGGTTAATAAAGTAGCAAAACAGTTGGCTTTTCTGCTGCTTCCCTCACTTGGATAGCTACCAACTACAGTTCCTTACGACTAGGAAAGCATATGACTTGTGTTTCTCCTTTGCCAATTCAAATCCTCCCCCCAGTGACTCACCGCAGCCTCCTTGGTCTTAAACTCCTTCTCCCTCTGCGTACGGTACTGCTCAATCTCTGCCTGGGCTTCCTCCTTGGCCTGCTTCAGCCTACGGTTCTTACCTGATCAAACACAGAAACAATCTGCACTTAGGCTTAGTAAGTCAAATGTATTGGAGCAGACATTGAATTCCCAGTCCCATCAAGTCTACTATAACTATGCAGTTTATTGTGTGCTTCCTGGCAATAGAGGAAGTGGGAAATCCTATTGTTAGGGAAATGAGACCTAGTGAAAGAATTGTGAGGAAAGACAAGCAAGTAGCCTACTGTCAGGGCAGGTTTCCCAGGCCCAGAGTACAGTCTACTCCGGGGTTCAGTGAAGAATCTCCATTCAAAAGTGTTTTTTAGTCCTGGGGTAGGCCTAATCTAGGTCTGGGAAACCTGTAAACTGGGGGGTAAAGGAAAAATAAAGACAAGGAAGTATTTAAGTTAAGGCTCTCTTTGTGATCGAGTCATGTTACTCTGACTAAATTCACTCACTGGAATATGACTGTCAGACAGACAACGCTAAAGTTAAATCTATGTCTATTGTTGGCCATTCACTAGACCAATATTGGACTAAAGGAGCCTAACGTTACTCCATAGTCCAAGGACCTTATATGTTCTGTTTAAAAGGCGAATTGGCTCTGGAAGCCAAAACTTCCTAATACTAAACGTTAATCGATTCTCAATTGCATACAGTTTTAGAAACATAAATCCCTATTTCATATCACATCAAAATATTTTCACAAATGCAAAACCCACACTTACTGTACACTGTTTTAACCCAGTTGAAGCTGAAAGTATTTCAGTGACAACATTTGTGGCTTCTGTCTTCCGTTTACACACAGGTGTTCGGAGACGTATATAGCTAATTAGCATAGTCTACTGTGCCTTCCATCTGTTTTCCGTAAACAAGCGCTGTAACATGGGAATATAGTCGTGTGGGAACCCTTTTTTTGTTGTTGCCGATATGAAAAATAAGGTCCTTATGCTTCCAAAACCGTACCGCAAGCAACGCGTTAGCTTAATGTTAAGACCAAGCGTCGCGGCTCTTAATAAAACTCCCCCCTACAGAAGACGCCTTCGTCCAATAACTCTTATGTGTAATGTAATGGAACTGAGAGTCATGATCAAGGGCTACCCATTCACCTACTGTAATACTAGGTCTGACTGGCACCTTGGCGGGTTCTCTAGAGTTAGGCCTATTGTAGATCTCATCTGATCTCACACTTACCAGTCTTCTCTAGATGTAGGCTAGGTGTGTTTTTCCCAAGATAATTTCTAAGGGGCCAGTATAGGGGAGTTACCGTACACACCGATTGCTATCCCTTAAAATTGTCACCCCTATGGAACATTTCTCATCTTACTGGCTCAGTTGTGTATGATATGGAACAGCCAGCCAATGCCAATTGTAAAACACAGCATTAGGCCCATTTGGTTGACATCTATCATGTGCACGACACCCTTGGCTTGTGCATAGACCTTTACAATAAATAACAGGAGCTAACTAGTTAGCTAACAAACAGTTACTACAGGTGGCAATAGTTAGCAAACTAACAAACAAACCACAGATACCTTAACAGTTAGCTAACGTTAGTTATGTAAAAAAAAACAAAAAAACATACTGCCGGTAGCTAGCTATCAGATGTTGCTAGCTAGTTAGCTTGGATTGAAGCAAGGATTTGCAGGCCTTGCCATCTCCACATTGTGCCGTTAGCCAATCAATGAATTTTTCCTATCAAATCTGGGGTATATTCTAGTAGCTATTTATTGATCAAATGTTTGTTATGCCATTAGATAGCTAATGTTAGCCAATCAAGCTAAAGTCAGATAGTTCACTGCTAGCTAAATTGACCTAAGCCGTTGAATATCAACAGATTTTAACTTACGTTTACGTGCTTCTGCTACCTTTTCTGCAGCTCGTTTTTCAGCTTGCAGTAGCTGCTGAATACCCTGGGACTGGCTAGCCATTATTTGGTTCGGAGAAAGATGTCTAGATGGACAAGAAGATGGTGTTCCAGCTGCTGGTAGGCGAATTTACTGCAGTCAGCTGACAACGCATCATGTCGTTGTCAGGCTCAAACCACGTGACCGGGGATGCGGTCGGTTTGCCTCCCGGCCTATCCGAGATGCACCCAGCAGCAGCCTGTGACTAAATCTAGTTTGTCACTAAAACCAATACTATAGCCATCTACTGACCGTGGTTAATCCCTACCACATACAGGTGAACTCCTCCTTTTCTTTCCTAGATTCCTTTCCACCTTTCCTTGCTCCCTTTCCTTTCCTCGTTCAATTTCCTTTCCTCACTCCTTTTCCTTTCCAAGCTTCCTTTCCTCCTTTCCTCTCTACTGGCCATTGTTAATCCCTACCACATACATGTGAACTCCTTTACTTTACTAGATTCCTTTCCTCACTCCATTTCCTTTCCTCCTTTCCTATATCCCTTTATTTTCCTTCTTTCCTAGTTTACTTTCCTTTCCTAGCCCCATTTCCTAGCTTCCTTTCCTTCTTCCTTTCCTCTCTACTGGCCGTGTTTAATCCTAGGAAAGGAGGAAAATAAAGGGTGTTAGGGAAGGAGGAAAGGAAAGGGAGCAAGTAAAGGGAGCTAGGAAAGGAGATAAAGGAAGATAGGGAAGGAGAGGAAATTGAGGTAGGGAAGGAAAGGAAGCAATGAAAGGTGGAAAGGAAAGGGAGCGATGAAAGGAGTAAAATAAAGGGTTCTAGGAAATGAGGAAAATAATCTTGGAAAGGTGGAAAATAATAAAGGAAAGAAAAGGAAGAGTTCACGTTTATGTGGTAGGATTAACCACAGCCAGTAAAGAGGAAAGCAAAGGAAGAAGGAAAGGAAGTTAGGGTAGGAGGAAAGGAAGCTAGGAAAGGAGGAAAAGAAAGGGAGCGAGGAAAGGAGTAAAGGAATCTAGGAAAGGGGCTGCAGCTGGATACTATTGTCTTATCCCTTCAGTGGGTGCAGGTGCCATATTACATCAGTTTGGGGCAGAAAAGTCAAGCCTGAGTAGCAGTAGTAGCTTCCTCCACTCATAACAAACGTTGTTCCAACAATGTTTCCCTTGACTTTCTTTAGCATAATATTTTAAGTTGAATAAATAGGGTTTCTTCACACATTGTGTACATTCATTCAGCATGCATTGGAATAGGCTACAAACGAGCATTTCTGAAATAGAGTACACAGAAATCTAAACTGTTAACAGAATGTCGTTTATACTGTAACAAACACATTATGGACATTGTATGCACAGCCAAAGACTGAAAGAATGACTAATATTGTAAAATTATATGAAACAGCCTCACCTGGAGGATGCATAATATATTGCAGCCTGAATAAACAGAAGGCTATAAAAAAAATGAGAGCTACACACGATGTATAAGCTACCAGAAATGTATTGGGTAAACCACTCACATTTCCTTCTTCAGGGAGGGTGAAGAACTAACCCTGAAGCAAGCAATGTGATGTGGTTTACCCAATACATTTCTGGGAGCATAGTGTGTGGCTGTCTTTATTGTTATAGTTTACATTCAGTTGGTCAGCTCACGCCAGCTCATGCCTTTTACTAGCCTGAAAAAACAGACCAATGGTGCTCAAGCCAGGAAACAAAAGGGATCTATTCCCATTGGTAGAGACAGGAATAACTTCATTACTGAAATAATTTCTTTGACTAATAACAATAATTTTAGCTGTATAATGGAACCAATGGAATAGTCTAAAATACTTTCAAGTAGAGACATTATTTGACCTACAGTGCCTTCGGAAAGTATTCAGACCCCTTGACCTTTTCCACATTTTGTTAGGTTACAGCTGTATTCTGAAATTGATGTTTTTTTCCCCCTCAATCTACACACAATACCCCATAATGACAAAGCAAAAACAGGTTTAGAAATGTTTGCTAATTTACTACAAATAAAAAACAGTGGGGCCTCCCGAGTGGCGCAGCGGTCTAAGGCACTACAGACCAGGGTTCGATCCCGGGCTGTATCACAACTGGCCGTGATCGGGAGTCCCATAGGGCGGCGCACAATTGGCCCAGGGTCGTCCGGGTTAGGGGAGGGTTTGGCCAGGGGCTTTACTTGGCTCATCGCGCTCTAGCGACTCCTTGTGGCGGGCCGGGCGCCTGCAGGCTGACCTCGGTCATCAGGTGAACAGTGTTTCCTCCGACACGTTGGTGCGGCTGGCTTCCGGGTTAAGCGGGCAGGTGTTAAGGAGGGCGGTTTGGTGGGTCATGTTTCGGAGGACGCATGACTCGACCTTCGCTTCCCGAGTCCGTTGGGGAGTTGCAGCGATGAGACAAGTTCGAAATTGGAGAGAAGGGGGTAAAATCTTTTTATAATAATAAAAAAATATTACATTTATATAAGTATTCAGACCTACTTTGTTGAAGCACCTTTGGCAGCAATTACAGCCTAGAGTCTTCTTGGCTATGACCCTACAAGCTTGGCACACCTGTATTTGGGGAGTTTCTCCCATTCTTCTCTACAGATCCTCTCAAGGTCTGTCAGATTGGATGTGGAGCGTTGCTGCACAGCTATTTTCAGGTCTCTTGAGATGTTCGCTCGGGTTCAAGTCCGGGCTCTGGCTGGGCCACTCAAGGATATTCACAGACTTGTCCCGAAGCCACTCCTGCATTGTCTTGGCTATGTGCTTAGGGTCATTGTCCTGTTGGAAGGTGAACCTTCACCCTAGTCTGAGGTCCTGAGCAGGTTGTCATCAAGGATCTCTCTGTACTTTGCTCCGTTCATCTTTGCCTCAATCCTGACTAGTCTCCCAGTCCCTGCCGCTAAAAAACATCCCCACAGCATGATGCTGCCACCACGCTTCACCGTAGGGATGGTGCCAGGTTTCCTCCAGATGTGACGCTTGGCATTCAGGCCAAAGTGTTCAATCTTGGTTTCATCAGACCAGAGAGTCTTGTTTCTCATGGTTTGAGAGTCTTTAGGTGCCTTTTGGTAAACTCCAAGCGGGCTGTAATGTGCCTTTTACTGAAAAGTGGCTTCCGTCTGGCCACGCTACCATAATGGCCTGATTGGTAGAGATCTGCAGAGATTGTTGTCCTTCTGGAAGGGTCTCCCATTTCCACAGAGGAACTCTAGAGCTCTGTCAGAGTGACCATCAGGTTCTTGGTCACCTCCCTGACCAAGGCCCTTCTCCCCTGATTGCTCAGTTTGGCTGGGCGGCCAGCTCTAGGAAGAGTCTTGGTGGTTCCAAACTTCTTCCATTTAAGAATGATGGAGGCCACTGTGTTCTTAGGGACAGACATTTTTTGGTACCCTTCCCCAGATCTGTGCCTCAACACAATCCTGTCTTGGCGCTCTACGGACAATTCCTTCGACCTCATGGCTTGGTTTTTACTCTGACATGCACTGTCAACTGTAGGACCTTATATAGACATGTGTATGCCTTTCCAAATCATGTCCAATCAATAGAATTTACCACAGGTGGACTTCAATCAAGTTGTAGAAACGTCTCCAGGATGATCAATGGAAACAGGATGCACCTGAGCTCAATTTCAAGTCTCATCGCAAAGGTTCTGAATACTTATGTAAATAAGGTATCTGTCTTCGCTTTCTCATTATGGGGTATTGTGTGTAGATTGCTGAGGATTTTTATTTATTTAATCAATTTTAGAATAAGGCTGTAATGTAACAAAATGTGGAAAAAGTCAAGGGGTTTGAATACTTTCCGAATAAGAGCAAATAGAGCTCCAACAGGGATCAAGCTGTGTAACAAAGACAGAATGCACTGGAGTAATTTTTTCCAAAACTTCTCACCTCATGGCATTTCATTGTCATTGTCACAGGCAGTGATGATCTCCTTGCCAGAAAATGTACAAATTATCAATACCATACAATAATATGAGTTGGTAAATCTTTTGGTGGATGCTCTGCTTAATATGATGAATGTTTGTTCAAAGTTGAGATAGAGAGATAAAAACCAGTTAATATACTGTTTTTAATGGTCCCAGTTTTGGAACACTAGATTTGCTTCTTCCCTTCCCCCACAAAACAAATATTTGTTTCTCTATCTTTGAAAAGGTGAAGTACAAAAGTGTAAGAAAATAGAAACACTTAAAAAATACAAATTATTGGAGGAGATTTAACTGAAAAATAGAGAAAGTGAAAAATAGAGTGAAAATAACGCTGTAAGGAAATTGAAATGTACAGTCAGAGCACATAAAAAATATAAAATAAATAAACTGTCATGATGAAAGCCAAGTAGACTTCCATGGTAGTTTCACAAATCGGAAATGTTTTACAGCAAAAATCTAAATCATTCTGGGCCCGGTTTCCCAATAAAGATTGAATTTAGACTTACAAATACAACGGCTGAAGATGTAACGTGTTTCCCAAAACACCATGCAGAGAGGTTGGTCACTAAGTGAGTTGTGGAGCATGTATAGATACTGATAGGATCGAAAGACAGACAGCGCTGCTCTCAGATCAGCTTTCTCCATTCAAATCTTTCCTTAACATTATAATTATTTCACAATACTGATGACGGATCAGCTCCTAGAGAGATATTACCACCTATGGCTGAAAATATTGAGGTGGCTTATTCTAATGCTTACCCAATACAAATCACAGATTTAGCACATCATTGCACACATGTTAGGCTATATTGAGACAAATTACAGACAGTAGCCTACATGTAGCAAAATATAACAATTAATTGAACATGAAATGTATTTCAATATGATTGAAAACACCTATAGCCTACTGTTTATATTTTAATGCAGTCATCTCAGTTTTCATTTGAAGCATATTTTCATACTCGCTTGTTTGTATCAATTGCAAAGACGTTGGCAATTTAGTATTTGTAGTCAACTTTTGTTCTGAAGTTATCAGCGGTCACAGATACGGATGAACCACGTGATTCTGTTTATTGGAAATCTGTGTGGCATTCAAGTCCTAATCGGAAATAGGAAACTCGAAAACGTCATGGTAGTAGTTATCCACGTGCC